TGAGTGACACCTCCGGTGCCCTGCTGCCGGCGTGTCCTTGATTCCTGGTTGATCCTGCACAGCCACCAGGCCTCTGCTCCACTGGGGAACCTTCTTTTGGTTCTCTGATCATGTTGACAGGAGCTCATCTTTCTCCTCCTTGATCTGCTGACTCATCAGACTGAGACCTGGGGCTGAGGGACCAGCCGGCCTCTGCTTGAGAGGGAGCTGATGACCCCACTACAGAGAACTGCTCCACGGAGGCCCTGCCCCAGGCGAGCAAAGGCAATCCCACAGAGCCAGAGAATGGGGGACAATCCTTGATGCTCCCTCCTCTGACACGGTCACTGTGCAAGCCCGAATCTCTCTGCCCACATCGCAGTCCAGCAGACTGTGCCCGGGCCTCCTGTGCCCATGCGGACATTCGCCCCGGCCTGCAGCCCCCGGCTCAGGGCCTGTCTCCTCCTGGCCCCGACCTGCCTGTGGGCTCAGTCCTGAATCACTCAAACTCCTCCTGTCAGCACACATGTGAAGCCCCAAAGGGAGAGACAAATTCTGACTTTGGTCCCCTCTAGTCTTCATTCATTGATCTCGGAACAAATCTCAGATTCAAGGACTCTGGGGGTTTCAGACCTCAATGCTGGCTGCCGGTCTGTGCTCCCAGGGGGTGACCCTGAGGGAGACCCAAAGGGGGAGCCCGATGTGTGTGCTACATTCATGCAGTGTTCACTGGGGAACAGCATCTGTGTACTAGTTTGTAAAAGCCTCATCTCTTGGTGTGGGATTTATAATACAAAATACTTAAAGTGTGAATTCCTGGGCCCTCCCTGGTGGTGCGGGTGAGCACGCTGCACGGCAAGCTGGTCACAGCCTCTTCAGTGCGAGTTTGATCCCAGGTCCTGCAGCTGACCCACAGTGCACGACAGCCCTCTCCTGTCTCCCCACTGCTCCCCTCAGCAGTGTGCTTCAGCGATCTGCTTTTTCTGCTCCCCACTGTGTCTCTGGTAAATCCTCTCACCCCCTGCACGTCTGACTTGTACCCGAGTTCTGTATGCACAAATACATAAATCTTTAAAACAAATGTAATTCTAATAGCGAGATATATTTGAAGGTCAGGGATACGATAGAAGGGCAAAGAAGTTCGGATGCCTGTAGGTTAAGGGATGTAATTGTACAAAATTAGTCCTTGCTAGGTGTGGTAGTTTGAGCTGAACGTTTTAAGACTTCGCAATCAGCTTTTGCAGCAACATGGATGGAGGTGAAGAAGATCATGCTTCGTGAGAGAAGCCCGAAAGAAATGGAAAAATACTGGATGGTTTCACTCATAGCAGGAGTACAAAAGAACAGGGGATAAAATAATGATAATGATGAACAGCTATATACCAGAGACTTTTTGTGGGGGTGTAGTGGGGGAAGGGATCAAAATGCGGGTGGGGGGAGGAAGTGCATTGGACTATGGTGATGGCACATGGGTGATTTCGTGATGGGAAGTCCACGGGGACTGCAACTGAGATGGAAACAGGCACAAAATGATGTAAAAAAAAAACCATATTATTTAAAAAGTTAAAAAACATAGAAAAAGAAGACTTCACAATCAGAAGTTATGAGGAAAAGTTATGAATCCGCCGTATAATGGCAGCATCTCCTCCCCAGAATGACGACTCCAGACAAATGCTGAGGGAATGTTTATAGATCCGTGTCTCTGGTCTGTCCAGGGAGGCCTGATTGTCCATCGCCCGTGGTCCCTGCAGAGGGGGGGTCACCCTTCCCCTCTTCGTCAGGCCGCTGGTCACACAC